AGCAGGATTTGATATTCCTGGGTAATGCTGCTTCAGCTACTCTGGGGAGGGGGAAAGAATGTTGTCTGTATTTGTGGTTTGACATTAGTTCTCAGAACTCCTCACTTAATAAGGTTGCATGCTAATTAAAATAAGTTTCTTGCATCTGATCTTTCTCATCTTGTTGAGGCCACTGACTTACTTGCATTCTCAAGATAGCCTCTCTAAGCATGATTATTCCTAATATTTTCATGCAATTCCTTTTCATAATTAAGCCAGCATTCATCTTTGTGTTTGTATTATAATTGAATTATAATTTACTTTCTTTTCTTTTTTAATTTTAGGCTTTCGTTATTTTTTGCGGCCTGGGCATCAACAACACAATTATGTATGACCAAGTGAAGAAATCCTGGGCAAAACAGTCTGTGGCTCTTGATGTATGTGTACACCTTAATGCAACGTTTTCTTGCTTATAAGTGTTGCAAGTAAAGGAACATACTGCTTCTGAATTTATTGTAGTTAGCATTATTTTCTATATCTACCTCTCTGCACCTTAGAGTGTTGTCTTATTAAGGTAATGCTGACGGAAAACTTTCTCCAGGTACCCTTAGCTGTGGAGCTCATGAACAGCTTAAGTAATTTTGAACCTGGATATCTCATTTGATGCCTACATTTTTTACATTAGAAGGGAGAACAGTGCTGATGGAGAATCTAGTTTCTTAGAGGTGTAAGTATAGGAATTTAATCTAGGTGTTATATGTATTTTCTTGTCCCTCAGTAATTTAAAATTCCTTAGAATTTCATATTTTAGATAGCTTGTCATTGTTTTTCTAGTGTTGGTTTAAGTGAAACATACTGTGAATAGGACAAATTTGAAAAAAGTTATAGGGAGAACAGTGCTGATGGAGAATCTAGTTTCTTAGAGGTGTAAGTATAGGAATTTAATCTAGGTGTTATATGTATTTTCTTGTCCCTCAGTAATTTAAAATTCCTTAGAATTTCATATTTTAGATAGCTTGTCATTGTTTTTCTAGTGTTGGTTTAAGTGAAACATACTGTGAATAGGACAAATTTGAAAAAAGTTATCATAA